AAAAAATGTTAAAATACTATTGTGTAATTGAATAATTATTTCTTATGGAATAAACAACATGGACTCTTTTGTCCACTTTATTACTTTTATGCAACCCGTGCGATTGCGCTACATATTTTTTAATGATTAATAAGTCAACATCATTTTTATAAGTTTAGTTGTCAAAATTCAACCACCTCAAAGTTCAGTGGCCGAAGATGTTTTTCAAAATTTAGTGAGCATCTGACAACATTTTTTAAAGTTTATTGAGCAATCGAAAACGTAACAAATTATTAACAGCGTGACCCGACGCCACTTGTATATTACGTTAGTCACGTCAATAATTCCATTAAAGAATTGGAACGGATATTAAGATAGTGAATAACGTCAAACGTTTTAATAAGTTTAGTGGCTAAAAGTCAACATTTTAAATTTCATTGAGCAATCGAAAATATAGATATAAGTTCAGTGACCATTGGGACAATTAATTCTAAAGAGAGGGAGGCATTACTTTTGGCCAAAAAATTTTGGAGGCAAAGAGGGAAGATACGTGTAGGTTGTGATCTCTTTATTTAATTGGGTTTTGTTAACAAAAGAAAAAAAAAAGAATTTTCTTTTTTTCTTTTTGTAATTATCCTTTAACTTCAAATATACATTTTATAAAGACTGAAATTTAAAATAATAATTGAATAATTTTCTCATTAACTTTTAGCCCACCAGCATGTCTGATATTTTTGTCGTCAAAAGATATATCTTGTTCGTCAATTTTTTTGTCATGAGAAAATATATATATATTTTTAGCACAATTCTTCTCACTATTTAAAATTTTGAAACAAATTATAACCTAATGAAATGACATTTTTGTGGGGAAAAGTGAACTCTACCTACAAATCTCAATTTGTAACGACTCTTTGTTGGGAAAAAATAAATTTCTTGTAGTGGCAGTGGAGAACAACGTTGGAGAACTGCAGGGCAAAGAGGACGGTCAAGGACAAGAACAACTTTCACCAGCAACAGTGCCAATGCTGTTGGGCGGAGGTCGCGCAGATGGGTTGGTGTTAGGTTTGAATGATATATTATTATTATATTAAATTTTAGTATTTTTATTTATTAATTTACTAAAATTTAATTACCATCTAATATGTAAAGTCATAACTAATCCACCTTATTCATGAACAGTGGTTTATATATAGGTTTTGGATAATTTTCCCTTAAATGAAATCTAAACATACTAAAAATTACGATCCTATTTGGCCCTTATTTTTTAATATTTATTTTTCTTTAAAATTATTTTCAATCAATATTTTATGAGATTCATAACTTTTACAATTTTTCAGTCTCATATTTTATCAATTTTATAAAAATCTATTAAAGTTTTGATCTTCAATTCACCAAATACAACATTATTCTTAGATGTAATTAGGGATATCAAATGGTTCAAGCGACTTATCGGCTCGTCAAAACCCGACTTGTGGGCTGCTCGGGCTTGTTGAGCCCACGAGCAGCAATTGGAACGGATATTAAGATAGTGAATAACGTCAAACGTTTTAATAAGTTTAGTGGCTAAAAGTCAACATTTTAAATTTCATTGAGCAATCGAAAATATAGATATAAGTTCAGTGACCATTGGGACAATTAATTCTAAAGAGAGGGAGGCATTACTTTTGGCCAAAAAATTTTGGAGGCAAAGAGGGAAGATACGTGTAGGTTGTGATCTCTTTATTTAATTGGGTTTTGTTAACAAAAGAAAAAAAAAAGAATTTTCTTTTTTTCTTTTTGTAATTATCCTTTAACTTCAAATATACATTTTATAAAGACTGAAATTTAAAATAATAATTGAATAATTTTCTCATTAACTTTTAGCCCACCAGCATGTCTGATATTTTTGTCGTCAAAAGATATATCTTGTTCGTCAATTTTTTTGTCATGAGAAAATATATATATATTTTTAGCACAATTCTTCTCACTATTTAAAATTTTGAAACAAATTATAACCTAATGAAATGACATTTTTGTGGGGAAAAGTGAACTCTACCTACAAATCTCAATTTGTAACGACTCTTTGTTGGGAAAAAATAAATTTCTTGTAGTGGCAGTGGAGAACAACGTTGGAGAACTGCAGGGCAAAGAGGACGGTCAAGGACAAGAACAACTTTCACCAGCAACAGTGCCAATGCTGTTGGGCGGAGGTCGCGCAGATGGTTTGGTGTTAGGTTTGAATGATATATTATTATTATATTAAATTTTAGTATTTTTATTTATTAATTTACTAAAATTTAATTACCATCTAATATGTAAAGTCATAACTAATCCACCTTATTCATGAACACTGGTTTATATATAGGTTTTCGATAATTTTCCCTTAAATGAAATCTAAACATACGAAAAATTACGATCCTATTTGGCCCTTATTTTTTAATATTTATTTTTCTTTAAAATTATTTTCAATCAATATTTTATGAGATTCATAACTTTTACAATTTTTCAGTCTCATAGTTTATCAATTTTATAAAAATCTATTAAAGTTTTGATCTTCAATTCACCAAATACAACATTATTCTTAGATGTAATTAGGGATATCAAATGGGTCAAGCGACTTATCGGCTCGTCAAAACTCGACTTGTGGGCTGCTCGGGCTCGTTCGTGGGCACATGGCCCATGAGCCATTTTGATGAGCCCACGAGCTCGGCGCGTGGGCTCGTAAAAAAATATGAATTTTTTTTTTTTTAAAAATGTCCAAAATGCTCACCCCCGAGCAATGAGCCGAGCTCGTGGGTTAAAAGCTGGCTCAGCCCATTGCCATCACTAGATGTAATAACTAAATGAGAAACAAAAGAAGTTATCATTCAATCATGTAACATATTAAGTCCTTGTATGGTCGCGATTATTTTTGGAGAAAAATGAATTCTTATAATAAATATGTGGGACCTTTTGCAATTAAATAAATCTTCTCAAGAACATCTCGAAAATGAATGAGTCCTCACATCAATTCATTATTTATTTTTTTCTTCGATCATTTTGCCCTTTGTTGAGTTATTAAGTTATTATTATTTTTTTCCAATGAGACTCAAACTCGACAACTATAACGGATCTGTGTAAGGGTTAAAGGAGTCTTAAAGAATGCAAGGTAAGAATACATAATGTAAACGAAGTTGTTTGTGATAGGAATAGGATCGGTCTGCAATTGATTTATTCTTTTAGTACATACGACATATATGTGTGTTGCAAAGTATCATATTTGATGATTAGCTGCTTTTTTTTTTTTTTTCCCAGATATATGCAAGTTGTCGAAATTGACTTACTATTTGTCAATTCAATAATTATGATGATCATAATGGACTAAGATATTTCCATAACACATTTAATTTTATTGAATTTATCTTCTTTCACAAATATTATATCAACCACAAAACCCAATCAATTTTATAATATATATATATTTTATTTTTTATTTTTTTGGGATGAATTTCAATGACAATATTAAAAAGTAAATATAATGAGAAAAATCTAGTGTTGCGATAGAATTCTATCCATAAATGAAGCAATAAAAATATAAAATAATCTTGATAAGAAATCCTATTAAATCAAGTATCACAAATCTAGTCTTTGGCATCATTACTAATGACGTTAGGGCTGAACAACGAAATAGCTAAACCAAAAAATAGAACCGAAACCGTTTTCTTGAAACCGTTAATTTGGTTCCATGTGAATCCATCATAGGTTTCAATCTTTGCAGAACCACCAAATCGTTTACCCAAAATACATATATATATATATATGAAAATAAATTAATCTAAATTTTATTTAACCCGATTAAAACTTAATACATTTCAATTAAAAATATACATCTATATTAGACATAATTCAATTAAACTCAATTCGACGGTTATACATCTCAATTAATTAATTAATCATATCCAAATATTCACGAGTTACAACAACTGTGAATGTAAAACCCTTAAATTTGATAAAGTGTTGAATAACTAATGCTAAATCACATTCATCGATTCTACACTACAATTAAGCAGACAATAAAATATAGATTTTAATTCAAATGTGCACATTTCATTTTCTTCTAATAATTTTCTCAAATTCTGCTCAAATTCAAGTCAGATTATCGAAATTCTTTTATTTTTTGGTAATTATTTTTATATTTTTATTGGTAATTATGTTGTTTTGTTATGATAATTGTCGGTTTCTAGATCTCCCTTAAAGTAATTCGCCAATATTTAGATGAAGTAGAAACTTTGAATGATTCACAAAAAGTCATAATAGTTAGGCGCTATTGTATTTGAATTTTTTATTCATTTTCCTTTATTAATTATTTTATATCATTTAACTATAATCAATGAAATCATGTATTATATTTTTATATTTATAATGAATCATGCATTACACTTGCAGAAAGATGTCATTAGTGTCGACTAAGAGTTTAAAATATTTATGTCTTGTGGTTGCATTATAATGATTATAATTATATAACATTGATTTGTAATTTTTTTAATAATACAATTTATGTTTTGACGTGAAATTTTAAACTAATATTTATGATTTAACTTATTTGATATTATATATATAATTGATTTGGATTTGGAAAAATTTCAAATCGTTTTAAATGGTTTGATTTGAAAATTTGTTTCAAACCGTCCAAATCGAACTGTGTTCATTCCTAATGACATTATGGATGACATCCTTATAAGTAATTAGAAATAGAGATATGGATATAGATAGATAGTAATATTGTCGTCAATTACCAACAAAAATCAATATTCATTGCAATTTTTCACAACATTTTTTTTGTTTTTTAAGGATCGTGGGTGTTTGGACCAACTTATATGCACCTCGACTAATTTCACGAATTTTGAAATTTACAGTGGGATGCTCACTTCAGTAGCCCTGAAAGAACTCGAACTGATAACCATTATGAAGCAAATTTAAAGTCTAATCACTGAACTAACTCTCGAAATTTTCTCCCAAACTGAAACAGACTATTAGCATCAGCAACGATTTTTTATTTTTAATTTTTAATTTAGCAAAAGTTGGCTCTGTAGAAAGGGAAATTGTCCCAAAACAAAACCATTGATCGCAGCCCACAGCCCTGACTTCAACCGCCCACTGTCTCCCATTTCCAGCGCTCCTTTCTACGCACAAATCCACTCTTATATTATACGTACATACACAAACAAGTATTCTTGACGCTACGTTTCGTCGCATAATCTGAAGTTGTGTCAAAATCACAAAATCTGTAAAATGTCAGTTTCCGGTGACCATTCCAATTCTGTTTTCGCCAATGTTGTTCAAGCTCCTGAAGATCCCATTTTAGGGGTACTTGCTTCCACTCTTTATATATATTCGTCGTTAAGAATCATAAGATCACATAGTAATTTGTCTCGATTTTGAAGAATTCTTTTTAATGCGCATAAATTCGGACAAAATGGAATAATGGGTTTAGGTATTTATATTGTTCGTTTAGAGATTTTTTATTTATTTATTTATTTTATTTTATTTTTTGATTCACCAAGCATTTGATACTTATTTGATGTTGTTTTATGGGCATAGGAATTTTATACTTGTAGTGTTGCTTTTGGGTTGTTTGTTGATTTGTTCTGATGAAACAGGTCACTGTTGCGTATAACAAAGATCCAAGCCCAGATAAGTTGAATTTGGGTGTTGGTGCTTATCGTACTGAGGTCAGTATCGTTCCTTTCCCAGATAATTACCTGCATATGAAGAGAGAGAGAGAGAATCAAATCTTTTGAAAGACATGATCATATGGATATATAATCTTCCTTTGTTAATTTAAGTGGTGGTGATATAATTCTTGAAAAGCTTCAGGTAGTCTGATGCAAAATGTTTGTTTGATTTGCTTATGGTAAATTGCAGGAAGGTAAACCTCTTGTTCTTAACGTGGTGAGAAAAGCAGAGCAACTGCTTGTTAATGATCCGTAAGTTGTAGTGATTTCTGATATTTTACAATTTTTGTAGCAGTTCCAGGTTATACAAATTCTAATATCAAATTTTTACGTGGTATAGTTCTCGTGTAAAAGAGTATCTTCCAATTACGGGGCTAGCTGATTTCAACAAATTGAGTGCCAAGCTTATTTTTGGCGCTGACAGGTAAAGAGATTTAGTTGCAGTTGTAAATTGTTGAGTTGAAAGTGGAATCGAATTTATGGTAAAGGAGCCTTTATAATCTGTGGAATATTTTCCTTGTGCATTGCATCAGACTTGATAAATTTTCATACGATTTCTATCTACAGTTTTAGCTGAGCTTGAACTATATTGCTGTTGTACCGTAAAGCACGTGGGAATGCAGAAAATTTACAATCATGAATAAATAATTCATTTTTAGGCAATTAGAAATTATCAGTAAATTGTCAGCAATATTCTCCAGTTGTTTGGTTGATTCTCAAGGAACCTAACTTTTTCCATTTTCAGTTAAAGCAGAGGAAAAAATGCCTTGATTTCATTGTTCCTTACTTTTTGAATGGTCTTATACCCTTTTTTCATCTACAAAAAAACCCCCCCCCCCCCCCCCCCCCCCCCCCAACAAAAAAAAAAAAAAAAACCAACCTCTCATCTGCGTAACTGAAAAAAATCTTGTTCACTCAAGCAACTCATGGTTTATGTTGGTTTTGATGAAAATTCAAGTTAATCTTACTCTGAAGTTATCTATATATTGTTTTAGATTGATTCATAGCCTTTTTGACTTTTGATACAGCGTTGCTATTCAAGAGAATAGAGTGGCTACTGTCCAGTGCTTGTCTGGCACTGGTTCATTAAGGGTTGGAGGAGAATTTTTGGCGCGGCATTATCATGAAGTATGTAGCAGGTTTTGAACTCCATTTATGTCTTAAACTTGAACAAAATTTGAGGCATGTTGATTTATTTGTTTAAAATTGCTTGCCAGCGCACTATATACATCCCGCAGCCCACATGGGGAAACCATCCTAAAGTTTTTACTTTAGCAGGGTTGTCTGTTAAGACTTATCGCTACTACAACCCAAATACACGAGGCTTGGACTTTGAAGGTTTTGGACTCTATTATTCATAAGCCTTTTTTCAATTATAGAAATAACTTATTCTGGGTTATTGTCTTGCTATGAATCTTGAAATTATTTTTGTATTACCAAATATTTCATGGTATCTAAATATTGCTCGTCAGATCTACTCAACGAAATCTGATTGATGACTGATATCTTATTACATCCATGCATCTCAATGACATGCTAAAGCCTAAAACTGGAGGGAAATTTATGTAATTTGGAATGTAAGATGGATAGAATGACTTTCTCTTGATTCCACCTTCAAATGCAGGGCTATTGGAGGATCTTGGCAATGCCCCAATCGGAGCAATAGTTCTTCTTCATGCATGTGCCCATAACCCAACAGGTGTAGACCCTACTTCTGATCAGTGGGAGCATATCAGGCTATTGATGAGATCTAAAGGATTGTTACCCTTTTTTGACAGTGCTTATCAGGTAGGAGCTGCTAATTGGATCTGTAGATGTACTATTTCTAAATAGCTACTGACTTCTGTTAGATGTATATCATTTTGTTAATTGGAATGCTGATCATGTTACTTAAATAATAAGTTGGAATGATACTTGGACTTAATTTACGTAGTCTGGACGTTGTAGGGCTTTGCTAGTGGGAGCCTTGATGCAGATGCATTGTCAGTTCGAATGTTTGTTGCAGATGGAGGTGAATGCCTCGCAGCACAGAGTTATGCGAAAAACATGGGACTTTATGGTGAACGTGTTGGTGCACTTAGCATTGTAAGTCGTAGCTAGTTGCGTCATTTTAATTGACACGTCTTTAATAAGGTGAAGTACTATAGAATCAGTGATTCTTGGAAATTTAAGTGAAAGAGTAAACCAAAAAATGTATACCTCGCACAATAATGCTTGCAGCATCTGCTTTATCTTGCTGATTTTAATTGACACGTCTTTAATAAGGTGAAGTACTATAGAATCAGTGATTCTTGGAAATTTAAGTGAAAGAGTAAACCAAAAAATGTATACCTCGCACAATAATGCTTGCAGCATCTGCTTTATCTTGCTGAGCTTCTTTTTGGCAGGTTTGGGTGGTGTTTTGGGCATGTGATGTCTGGAGAACGAATATATCTTCATCCCCACTAGCTGGGGGTTGTGTTTAATTGAGATGAGAATGTGTCAGTTCTCTAATGATGAGATTGACCTAGTATATACATTTATCCTAATTGTACGTCAATTATAACACAACCTTTTATTGATTCATTTATTACTTGATAATACACTTCCTGCCAAAAATGCCATAAAAGTTCCAGTGTTGTGCAAGACAGTACTTATTAATCTGAGAATAAATCCTTTGGTCTGAAAATCCAAATAAGTGATTTATATTGAAATTCTCTGACAATGCTTAGCGATGATTTACACTAATGACTTTGCTTCTTTATACTTTTCCTCTGGGTGGGTGTCAAGAGGCTTGTGGATGGGAAGAATAGGAGACGATGCTTATTTGCCCATGACTTGAAGTTCTGATTAAGTTATTTGGTTTTGACTGTTAGTAAGTTGAATCTTATGATAAATATTATAATTTACAGGTATGCAAAACTGCAGAGGTGGCAACCAGGGTCGAAAGCCAACTAAAACTGGTCATCAGGCCAATGTACTCTAATCCTCCTATTCATGGTGCATCTATTGTAGCTACTGTACTCAAAGATAGGTGTGGAGTCTGTTCAATGCTGTCATTAGGGATATTCTTTCCTCAGTTACTATTCACATAGTATCATGTGATATGATATCCGAATGTTTTTAATAAGATTATCCCAGAAGACCTTAGCTCTTGAAACTTTCAATTGTAGGGACATGTATGATGAATGGACTGTCGAGCTGAAAGCTATGGCTGATAGAATTATCAGCATGCGCAAGCAACTTTTTGATGCTTTGCAAGCTAGAGGTAAGACATATGGATTGTCTAGTTAATCTGAAGATCCAATTTGTTATGCTTGTTACTAGTATTCTTAGTTTGTAGTGTGTACCCAGAAAAAGGCTTATATTTTTAGTTGACAGTGGAACAGGTTTAGTAATTTTAAATTGTTTTGTGTAAAAATAAAAATTATATCGGGATATTCTTGGATGACTTGATCTCTGACTTTAGGTTTCTTAACAATTATTTTTATGTGATTGTGAATATGGAAAGTTAGAAAGATTAGTAATTTGGTTCATTGCGTCTGGCACAACTATAGAATGCAAAGATTATTTCTACCTCTTTTCTTTTTTCCTTTTTTATCCATTAATTTTTTTAGTTTCCTTCTGTAGTGTTCTGAAAGTTTTATGCTATCAATTTATTGGACAATTTTCCCATGATTTGGCAGGGACGCCAGGTGACTGGAGTCATATTCTGAAGCAAATTGGGATGTTCACATTTACCGGTTTGAATGCTGATCAAGTCGCCTACATGAGGAAAGAGTACCACATATACATGACATCTGATGGGTAAGAAAATATTTTGAATCTCCTATCTTCGATGAAACTTACTTAAATATTATGGTTGAAGATTTCTTTTTCTGGAAGTAAATACATTTCACCTTGGAACTCAGTTGAAGATTGAGTTTTATTTTTGCATATATGATATGTATGTCCTGTTGAAAAATTGCCAAAGTGGTTTGCCTTGTGCTAGAGCAAATGTGTGTGTGTGTGTGTGTGTGTATTTTTTAAAATTAAGCCCCCATTTGGTCCCCTTTTTCTTTCAATTTTTCTTCTTACTTTTACTTTCAACCACATAATCTTTAATAAAATAATATTACACGTAAATCGAAAAAAATTTCTTCTTTTTCAACCACACATTTTCCAACAAAAACACTATTCCAAACATTAAAATTTGAAAGAAAGGGGACCAAACCGAGGCTAAAGGTAAAAGAAAAAGGAAGAAGGTGAAACTCATTTGGAGAAAGCCAAATATGATTTCAATTCTCGTTATCTACCAATCTTTCTCCTTCACTCTTTCCTTCCACCTGTCTGAAAATCCTAATTTGCTGAAGCAAAGAGATTTTTTTATCTGATTCTTGCTCACATCATTTGCTTATGTGTATCAATACATTGTTTTTAAATGCCAACCAGAAAAATAGAAAAGATTCTGTTTCCAGCCTCCCAAAAATAATAATAAAGAATATGACTATTTAGAGAGATTCCCAAAATCACCTTTTCTTCGAGAACTATTCCTTTTCTGAGCACAGCACGAATATGATGAATTGCTTACAAAAATCAAGACTGATAAAGAGCAAGAGACTTTCTTTCTACTGGAAATCATAGAAACGAACAATATGAAATCACTAAGAATAAAAAATTGAATATGATCTGATAATATATAACATAAGTGACCTAAGAAAATCCGAATTCAATTATCTTATGTAAAATTTTGAAATAAATTAATAATACAATTTTTATATAACTACCTATTTTCTTATCTGTGAAAATCTTAATTCATCCGCGATTGATTTTCTGTATAGAGATTATCTCTTAATCTGTTCTAAATATAATATTGTTGGATAAAATTTAAAAATTGGAATGTGAGTCTTGGGAGGATTAAGAAAATAGAATCTAATGCCAACTCAAGTACAATTTGACCAATCCTAAACCAACCTTGTTTCTTGCCAACAGTAACTTTATTTTACTTATTGTTGACTGTAAACAAATAATCAAGTAACATGGAATTCACGATTTCTACCTTCTCAGTATGAATCAATTGGCATAGACCCTAAATGCCAAATATTAACAATTTACAAAAAAATACGGGTAAAAATTGTATATGAAAAAATAATCATTCTAATTCGATTCCTTTTGTTATGTATAAGAGCAACGGCTTTTAGGAATAATTAAGATGTGGGTTATGAGGATGAAAGGCCTTGAGTATGTATTGAAACATGGTGATATTCTTTGTTGCTTGATGGTTTTTTCGTTATATTGATCGTGTTGGTGGTGCATAAAAATTATATTTGAAGGTTAGTGCAGGTAGTGGTTGAATTGTTATTTCATATCAATTTGGCAATGGATGGTGGCAATGATTTAGGCTTGGGTTGATGAGGATGGGTATTGCATCCGAAATTTCCCTTTTTTTCCCACTTTGATATATGGACGGAGTTTTTACAATTTAAAACAGCAAAAACCACCCACCAACTGAATGATCAAGCTATTATGTGTCACTTAGGCCATTTTGAGAAGTTGGTGTGCCTATTCGACAATTTGCCAATATTTGTATACCAAAATGATTTATGCTTAATATCTCTTTATTGGCAGCTATATAATTAGGCACGCATCATCCTATTTGTGGATGTATTGAGTAAACTAAAATGGTGATATCAAAATGTTCACGATCAAGCATGGCAAAAATTATGTAGTTTGAAAAGTAGGGAAAAATTAAAACAAAAAGGTTATAATGCTCTTTTCACCTCGAGTCTTGACAATGGATTAACATGACTTGGTGGATCCTAACTGCTTCCTCTTTCTCCACTATTTGCAGGAGGATTAGCATGGCAGGTCTTAGTTCTAGGACCGTCCCTCATCTTGCAGATGCGATACATGCTGCTATTTCTAATCTAGCATAAGATGGTGCATAAAATTCTCCATACAAGTAACTTTTAGCTTCACTATGACGTTGTTTTGATTAGTAAGAATAATCTGAAATGGAACTTTGCTATTTTTAGCGTGACCTTGGATTGATGTGGTTTTCATCCCATTTTGTTTCTTTTTGAGCTGGCAAACTACAAGTCTACAAGAAACTTGTTACATTCCATAGTATCAATGCTTGCTGTTTGAGATGAATGTTGCCATTGATGTGGCTTTCATTCCATTTTGTTTCTTTTTGAGCTGGCAAACTACCGGAAACTTGTTACATTCCATAGTATCAATGCTTGCCGTATGAGATGAATGTTGTCCGTCTTTCTAACTATTAATAAATTGTTTTCTTTTTAATGTTCTGTTATTGAAATTGACTTTCAAATTGGATCCACAAATCTTATTTGGCATAGGCTACTAAATAAAATTATAATTGGGTTTCAGTGCTAAATTGATGCCCACCATATTAAATAGCCTGGAAGTTATCCTTTTTATCCCATTTTGTAGCTCAAACTGATTTCAGATATCATTCACACATACAAGTTTTGTATATATTCATCCGAGTAATTTAAGATGTAAAATATTGTCAAGCGAAACCATTAGAAGATTTTCCATTATAAAAATGTTTGATATTATAAAATTGTTTGATGTGTTGGGGGGAAAGTTTGGAAGGTGTCTTTCCATAGTAGGATTAATAGATCTTCACCGTCCATTTGGTGAGGTATTGCCGATGGTGTATATAAAATTATAAATCGTATGAGCTTCACCGTCCAATTGTTGAGATTAAAGAGCCAGATTTGACTTAGGTGGGATAGAGGAGGTTTGGTATCCTCATCGTGAATTTCATGTGGGATATGCCCAGAGAATACCAAGGTCTAAAAATTCAAGGTCGTGCTAGCGATTTGGACTTGTGAAGTGGACAGAAGTTCCATAATCGAGATTTGGGCAGGAAGATTTTCTAGCTTAAACTTGGTGATGTGGTGCATAAATGGGTATGATGGTGTATAAAAGGACAAGGTAGATAGAGGCGGACGTAGACATTTTAAGTTCGGGGCACGATCAAACTTACAAAAACATTGTGAAAAAATGGGAACATTTGATATATTATTACAATTGTTTTCTATGCATTCTAATGTTTTGATAATGTCTCATAATTACTCACGACCTCTACAACTTCTAATTTTACTTTAATGTTGTTAAAGGTTGAACCCCAACTTTGAGGGTCTCTCACCGTCCCACCCCTGGAGTATCGTGAGAGGGGTTAATCGCGGGATGTGCCTTAGCAGGTTAGGGAACAAAAGCTGTCTGTACACTAGTGTCCACAAAGAGTCCAAATCCATGTTTCAGGAATTAAACATTTACACTGCAGTTGCTAGCAAAGCTGGGTATAGCTTGTTTGTTTGCTTGCTTTCTAGACATTTGCTCCCACTTTCTCATTTTTTCTTCATTTGGTTCGTTTCAATTGCCTTATGCTACAGCCTGCAATTGATCTGATTTCATTTTTCTACTTTTCCTGAAATAACCCGTCTTCTTTTACATTCCCAACTCAAATAGCCGTTGTTTAAATTGATAACAGCTAATTATTTGTCAAGAATTTTACGATCCACTTTGTACATTGTCTTCAAATACATGGACTTGTTTCGCCGACATAGTGTCCAAAATTGTTTCAAAAATCTCTATGATTTTTGGTATGTCTTAGGAACCATAATAACACCTTCATTTGTTGACTTCATTAACTGCAACTCATCCCGCTAAAATTAGGAAGTTTTGGCTGCAAAATATTGTTTGGTGTCATCTCTAACAATTTCTTCATCAAAGCTCTGATACCATTTCGTAGAAAACAAATAATGGGCACATTCACAAAAACACTTCGGAAGAAAAAGTTTATTCTCTCGAACAAATTAGTTTTTATTTGACACATTTTCTCTTACCATACTTCGATCTTTTTCTCAATAGAAACCTAAGACTCCTATTTAAACTTGTACATAGAATATTCTATTTAATGTGCACGCATGAATCGAACATATAATTCGTGTAACATTATAGATGAATTTATGCACTCTAGATCTAATACATTATATGTGTATTATGAATTCTATTAATATAATAGATTCATTGTCCTTGTTCTAGAATCCGTGGTAAATGGACTACCAATGTTCAATGTATCATCTTTAACATTCATAACAAGTCTAGATAAACTTCTATCATGGTCAACTTCAGAAGATATCAAGTAGTAAACTTTCAGATTTAAATATGATCAGCTTTAAAAGTAAAAAACTGTCAGCAAAAAATTCTAAGCTAAGAAAAAATATTTTTGATAAATCCTATGTTTCCAGATCTATATGCAATACTTGACCAAATGACTAAAAAAAATCATATATAACATGAAATTACAACATGATTATATGGCCCATCAAAATAGTGCTTTGTGTAGAGCGAAGGATGAGAATTAACAAAATACCATGGCTCAAATTAATGAAATAAAAAAAAATCAATTTTCAAAAAATTGATGGGTCACGTGGCTAGGGCTGGACATGGTTCAATTTGATTTTAAAGAAAATCAAACCAAATCCAAATTTTCGAGTATTTAGTAGATGGAATCATCGGGTCCAAATTTAATTATGGAATCATTCGGGTTTAGGTCTGTTCAATTCTAGGGTTCCGTACAATAATTGAACTTTTTAATATTTACAACAACGCTACATTAATTTGACTAATAATATGTTTAATTTTAACTCTTACAAAATAATGTAATCCAATCTCGTGATATTTTTTACAAATCTCTTTTTGAGTTCTCTATAAATTTGACTGTTAAAACTATAAGAATAGAAAGATAGCGAGCTTACAATAATGAAGAGAGGTGCAACTGAGCTTCGAAATTGATTTCTTCAGAATGACAAAAACGATACTACAGTAGAATAAGAGATTTGGGTAAAATATAGGTCAATTTGATTAAGTTAGGTTTGAGCTGAAAATTAAAAATAGAAAAATCATATTTTGAGTTTGAGCTAAATTAATTAGTTAATAAATTTATTTAGAAAAAATAAAATAATTTGGCTCATTTAAGATAAAAAAATTAGGGAGATTTGATTTTTATTTGGTTCTTCGTCGAGAACTGAGAATCGAATCAAACATGTCGATTCTCGATTTAGATACCACTTCGGATATTTAACTTAAGAAGAATCGTTCGATTCGAGTTTGGTCAGGTTGGGTCAGATTCGAGAGTTTTGTCCAACTCTACATGTGACCCCCAATGTTCCATCTTGGGTCCGCCATAAAAGGTAGACTTAGTTTAAACTTGGTGAGGTACTTTACAATGGGGCAAATTATACTTAGCTTTAAAAATGAGATGAATTATGATAGTTAAGTGTTTCATGGTTTCCAAAAGGATTGAGTCTATGACAAATTAGTCATAAAATGTTTTGTTTGTTTGCTTGCTTTCTAGACATTTGCTCCCACTTTCTCATTTTTTCTTCATTTGGTTCGTTTCAATTGCCTTATGCTACAGCCTGCAATTGATCTGATTTCATTTTTCTACTTTTCCTGAAATAACCCGTCTTCTTTTACATTCCCAACTCAAATAGCCGTTGTTTAAATTGATAACAGCTAATTATTTGTCAAGAATTTTACGATCCACTTTGTACATTGTCTTCAAATACATGGACTTGTTTCGCCGACATAGTGTCCAAAATTGTTTCAAAAATCTCTATGATTTTTGGTATGTCTTAGGAACCATACTAACACCTTCATTTGTTGACTTCATTAATTGCAACTCATCCCGCTAAAATTAGGAAGTTTTGGCTGCAAAATATTGTTTGGTGTCATCTCTAACAATTTCTTCATCAAAGCTCTGACACCATTTCGTAGAAAACAAATAATGGGCACATTCACAAAAACACTTCGGAAGAAAAAGTTTATTCTCTCGAACAAATTAGTTTTTATTTGACACATTTTCTCTTACCATACTTCGATCTTTTTCTCAATAGAAACCTAAGACTCCTATTTAAACTTGTACATAGAATATTCTATTTAATGTGCACGCATGAATCGAACATATAATTCGTGTAACATTATAGATGAATTTATGCACTCTAGATCTAATACATTATATGTGTATTATGAATTCTATTAATATAATAGATTCATTGTCCTTGTTCTAGAATCCGTGGTAAATGGACTACCAATGTTCAATGTATCATCTTTAACATTCATAACAAGTCTAGATAAACTTCTATCATGGTCAACTTCAGAAGATATCAAGTAGTAAACTTTCAGATTTAAATATGATCAGCTTTAAAAGTAAAAAACTGTCAGCAAAAAATTCTAAGCTAAGAAAAAATATTTTTGATAAATCCTATGTTTCCAGATCTATATGCAATACTTGACCAAATGACTAAAAAAAATCATATATAACATGAAATTACAACATGATTATGTGGCCCATCAAAATAGTGCTTTGTGTAGAGCGAAGGATGAGAATTAACAAAATACCATGGCTCAAATTAATGAAATAAAAAAAAAAAATCAATTTTCAAAAAATTGATGGGTCACGTGGCTAGGGCTGGACATGGTTCAATTTGATTTTAAAGAAAATCAAACCAAATCCAAATTTTCGAGTATTTAGTAGATGGAATCATCGGGTCCAAATTTAATTATGGAATCATTCGGGTTTAGGTCTGTTCAATTCTAGGGTTCCGTACAATAATTGAACTTTTTAATATTTACAACAACGCTACATTAATTTGACTAATAATATGTTTAATTTTAACTCTTACAAAATAATGTAATCCAATCTCGTGATATTTTTTACAAATCTCTTTTTGAGTTCTCTATAAATTTGACTGTTAAAACTATAAGAATAGAAAGATAGCGAGCTTACAATAATGAAGAGAGGTGCAACTGAGCTTCGAAATTGATTTCTTCAGAATGACAGAAACGATACTACAGTAGAATAAGAGATTTGGGTAAAATATAGGTCAATTTGATTACGTTAGGTTTGAGCTGAAAATTAAAAATAGAAAAATCATATTTTGAGTTTGAGCTAAATTAATTAGTTAATAAATTTATTTAGAAAAAATAAAATAATTTGGCTCATTTAAGATAAAAAAATTAGGGAGATTTGATTTTTATTTGGTTCTTCGTCGAGAACTGAGAATCGAATCAAACATGTCGATTCTCGATTTAGATACCACTTCGGATATTTAACTTAAGAAGAATCGTTCGATTCGAGTTTGGTCAGGTTGGGTCAGATTCGAGAGTTTTGTCCAACTCTACATATGACCCCCAATGTTCCACCGTGGGTCCGCCATAAAAGGTAGACTTAGTTTAAACTTGGTGAGGTACTTTACAATGGGGCAAATTATACTTAGCTTTAAAAATGAGATGAATTATGATAGTTAAGTGTTTCATGGTTTCCAAAAGGATTGAGTCTATGACAAATTAGTCATAAAATGTTTGAGTGTTATTGTATACTATCAAGTTCTTAAAGCATCGTGTGGATCTGTACATGCATATTTATTTATTCATGGCTAAATGTTACTATATGATTGAAAAGCATGAGAATTAAGAAAAATGTATCAAGAATAAGAATAAAATTTCAAATAATAATAATAATAAAATTCTTACCCATAAAAATCTTGAAGGCAAGTCAATAAGGACTCTATTGACCCCGTCATTCAATGGGTAGTGGCTTCTATTATTCTTGCTCTCTATAAAATTACGGGAAAATACAGCTATGTAACGAGCAAATTCTGGACTTCAAATCAACTCTTTCCTCCATAAAAAATCAATATTTTTGCATATATACATACAACATATGTTAACGATTGAATGTTAAAAAAAATAAAATAAAATAAAAATAAAAAGGTCCATTTTCTCAGTTCTCACCCATTTAGTGATGGCAACGGGGCGGGCCGGGAGGGGACGGGGCAATTTTTGTCCCATTTGTTGCCCCGTTTAATTTTTTTTTTTTTACATTTTAAAAGTTTCGAATTATATTATTATTAGAAAATAAAATACAAATTCAAAATAGATTTTTAATGGGCAAATTGTTTAGAAATAAAATTAATTTTAATTTTTTAATTTTTTTTTTCTTCACAGGGCCGGCCCCGATCCCACGATGGGGCACCCTACCTTGCCTTGCCCCTCCCTGCCAAACTGTTCGAAGAGGGTTTTTTTGCCCCACCGGGGCTAGGCGAGGTAAATTGTCATCCCTACACTCATTCCTCCTCCTTCCGCTCCTCTATTCGACTTCTCAACCACTCACAAACTCTCACCTGGCGCCGCCTTCCCCCAATCTCGAAATCTCTTGTGATTCTATTAATTTTCGAGTCCTATATGCCTTTGATTCAATCGCCACCGATGATTCGACAGATAGCAGCACATTAGAAGAAGAACGTGAAGCCTCAATCTCACTTCTCTTTTCTTTTTATTTGTTATTTTGTTTTGTTTAATATTTCAAACTTTTAGTTTTTTAACATACAGTAAACTTAATATTGTTTTATGAGTTAGATGGTCTATTAATCTTCTCTTGAGTATTGTGTTTGATTTAAAATCATGTATTAGTTTTGTATTATATATAAAATTAGTTCTATGAATACATTGCTCTGTGAAATGTGAACTGCTTTTGCTTCCAATACTGTTGCCTCTGTCAATTGCTCTGTTTCCCCTGTGAATTACTTTGTGAAATGTAAATTGGTTTTGCTTCTAGTATTACTTTGCATTTGCTTTCACTACTTGATTTTAATGTATACTTGATTTGGGCTCAATCCAAATACGAAATGAAGGTTTTATATATTGGAAAGATAAAAGAAGATTTCATATTCATGTTGGAGTACATGATAGTGCACATAATCAAACTCACATTAAATGTGAAGTTTTGATGAATCAAGAGTAACAAATTCAATCGGTTTTCTTAATCCAATTGTAATTTCTGGCTGCTCATAATGAAGATATTAATACTATCACATTGGAAAATGCTTTTCAAAATTGCAAATTGACATCACCCGATGTTTAGAAGGATATAGTAAGTGTTCGTGCTGTTGAGACGATTAGTGTTATTATCAAAGAAGTTGGTGATTCATTATTTTCTATTCTAGCTGATGAATCTCGTTATGTGTCAATGAATGAGCAAATGTCAATTGTTTTATGTTATTTAGAAAAGTGGATATGTAAATGAACGCTTCATAAGGATTGAACATGTTACAAGTATCACGACTCTCTCACTTAAGGCTGCAATTAATAATTTCTTCTCTAATTATAATTTGAGCATGTCTAGATTGAGAGGACAATGTTATGACGGGGCAAGTAATATGCAAAGTAAGTTTAATGGTCTCAAAACATTCATTTTGAAGGAGAATTTATGTGCCTTTTACATTCATTGTTTTGCTCATCAACTCTAACTAAATCTTGTAGCTGTGGCAAAGAAGAATATTCCCATTACTAATTTCTTTAGTGTGGTTGGTGATGTGGTAAATACTGTTGGAGCATCTTCTAAATGTCGTGTTCTTCTTTGAGAGAAAAAAAAAAATCAGATTTTATTGTATAGACATTGGAAAAATTGAGATTTTAAGTGGACGAGGACTTAATAAAAAAATAGCCCTTCCACATTTTGGTCATAAACATGGGGGTCACATTATAATTTTATGGTCAGCTTACTTGCCATGTTCTCTCCTGTTAGTGATGTACTTGAAATGATTGTTGAAGATGAATTTTGTTCTTATGATCAAAGATATGATGCAACAAATTTATTAGAGTCGGTACTTACATTTGATTATGCATTAAATCTAAAGTTGATGAGAAATTTCTTAAGGATTTCAAATGAACTATCAAATCCATTGCAAAGGAAAAATCAAGATATTGTAAATGCAATACAATTGGTGAAATTGTGCAAACGACGAGTCCAAATAATGAGAGACGAAGGGTGTGACTCTTTTTTGGAAGAACTATGTTCTTTCTATCAATAGCATTATATTGATGTTCTTGGCATAGATTATATGTTTGTACATCGTGCATTTCATGGTTGCCCACAGCGTACTCTAGAATTACAAATTTACATCATTATCGTGTAGATTTGTTCTACTCTATCATCGATTTACAATTTCAGGATTTGAATGATTGTTTCTCAGAGGTAAACACAGATTTACTCCTTTGTGTAGCTTGTTTATGTTCACAAGATTCATTTCCTTCTTTTGACAATAAAAACTTTATTTGACTTGTTGAGTTTTATCCAGTCATTTTTTCTTTAGTAGATCTCATCATACTTAATGATAAACTCGAGACTCATATTTTTTTACATGCGCTCTAACAAAGAGTTTGAAAGATTGAATGGCATTAGTGATTTTGTAGAGATGTTAGTTATGACAAAGAAAAGTAAGGTATATCTATTGCTTTACAAACTTTTGACTTTAACATTGATTTTATCGGTTGCTACTGCTATTGTGAAGAGAGTACTTTCTATAATGAGCATTATAAAGGATAGATTGCATAATCGGATGGGTGATCAGTGGATGAATGATTGCAAAATTGTTTATGTAGAAAAAGATATATTTTTGAATATCAATAATGAAGTAATTATACAACAATACCAAAGTATGAAAACTCGCAAAGGAAAAATGTAATTTATAAAATATACCATTTTTAGTATAAAAATGTTTTTTTTTTATAAATATTTTTATCATCTTTAAATCCATGACCAAAAACTCAAAGTATGACATTCTCTAAATTGTGCCTGCAATGAAGGAATTTCCTGGCTCTGCCCCTAAAATAGGAGTACCTTCACTGACAAGGAAGGTAGGATCCCATAAGGTAAAATGCTCGTATGGAAATGGAAAGGTTCTAGTTAAACTTTATCAACATAAACCTTCATCCACACAACCTGTTTACCTGTCCTCTTATTTAGCTTTAGCACATGATCTTTTTATTTCAACAAAAAGAGTTCTATCGGTTGCAGTCTCACTCAACTTCTTTCTGTGCAAAAATATTATCAACGAGAAGCCATGTGATTTGGATATTAATATGTCTAAGGATATGAATTAGAACAACTTTTCTATTTGCTACATCCTAGTCCTTAAGCTATAAAAAATTCAACAAAGCATTTAGGTCTAAAATTACGATAAACATAATACTAAATATATCAACATAAAATTACTATCGACTACCCAAATTCATTTCAAGTTAACCCCCACCAACACCACCTTCAGGGGGGGAAAAAATCCATCAACAACGTGTTCATTTTTTTTTGTAGAAAGAATACTTATCTTTCGGATTTTGGAACTTGAATATTTTGATTGAAGAAGACGCAAGTAAATGGAAGGTTGAAATGTTGAAAGGAGTGGCTTTTAACTCAGTGGTAGAGTTACGCCACGGTAAGGCATAAGTCATAGGTTCAAATCCGATAAGTTTCATGAGTTTGTTGACGTAAGTGATGGAGTTGTAAATTGTTGCCTTCTTTGGGTTAGAAATTGTAGTTGGGACATGGTTTTGAAGCTAATTAATGTAACATAAGCACAATGAGGTGACAAATAAGCATGACGTGAAATGTATCGACAAAACGATTTAATATTGCTAGGGATTCCTCACAAAGTGACTTACTGATACTAATGTTAAGATTAAGAAAAATGATATCAAGAGTATCAGTAAAATTTCAATTAAACAGTGCCAAAAAAAATCATTTACATGAGCAAACTGGATGGAAGTGAGGCATGCTCATGCATCGCTGTTCATAGGCACGGACAGCAAGTCAGATATGTACAAACTCAATTAACTCCTTGAGTGGTCATCTTGGGGGAGAACTGTACTACTTTTATCTCACACTTTCTTTCTTACATTTGTCTCACACAACACTTTGCCTCTGTTCTGATTCCTTCTCTTCTATGTATGTTTTCCCATTAATGGCGGGAGGTTGGACTTCTTAGGCCACCCGTATCAATTTTATCAATATACGAAAACTTCTTGATGTTAATATTAGAAGGTTTAGTCATGATCTTTTCTTCGTCATCCTTTACAAAAGAATCTAAATTACCAGTTGAATAATTCCTTCTAATATTCGTGTCTTCTGAAGGCTCTAAGTTCCAACCCATGAAATCGGACAGTGTCATTGAAGTCGGTGTCGCTTCTGCTGAACTCAATTTCTCTGTCTCTTCCCCCGGACTTGGAAAACTGCTCAATGTTGGTGATGGGGTGGTGGAGTCTATCGAAGGCTTCCATGTTACTACTGCGAGTGACGGATCTTGAGCCAAAGAATCTGCATAAAGAACATCCTCAATACGAGACATCACTGTGTTGGCCAAGCTTTCGAGTACTCTTGAATAGCTCTCCAAGATAGAATGGCCTATATCCTAGAGGGTCAGGAGAAAATCATACATTAATATAAAAACAACTCTATAGACGCGGAAATGATTTTACGTGTAGCATTACATCCAAATATTGAAAGAACGAAAGAAGATTTATTATCACTTTTCGTACCCTGTTATATTGGATTTTACTTATGTCAAGTGAAGATTGAGGAATTCCAGGGAACCGATGTTTGAGCAGGAGTAAGATTGTTTCTGCTCGTTCTTCAAATAACTCCCTTTTCTCCAAACTCACAGCCGAACCCCACCCAGATTTCCCATCCTTGTGATTCATTTTCCTTTTCCATATCACAATAGATGCCTCGATTCTGTTCTTTAGGTCAAGAACTTTGTGCTCTGATGACAAGTCCATAGTTGAAAGAAATTGTTGAGGATCAAAGAACTCAACGGTAATGCTTTTGTAGATTAAATCACCGAGGCTTGATCTACCATTCTACAAAAAACGACAATCTTGAATAATAAGTGAATGTCTGGAGACGAATAAAATCATGAGAGCTTGCTCGAAATCTCCTTATACCTTGGGTAGGGATTCAATATAGTTCTCAGGGATCTCCATATCTGATAGTATTTGAGCATTTATGGCCATGGATGCTTTCAACACTTGATTTACAGCTTCCTTTTGTTTTTGTAGAAATTGTCGCGATTCTTCAGATAATCCATTCGGAGGAACCTTGACCGTAGGTAGCCACCACTTTTCATTTCTTTGCACGCCTTTTTCAGTCTCGTCTGCATCTTTTGACACATACCAAAATTCATGTTGGTCTATGAAGTTATCGAGTGTACCCTGATAATTGTCATTCTTTCATAAGAATTCATAACAGATAGAATAAACGAAACAACAATTTTCTACGAATTCTTACAATTAACATTGCATCAAGCTTTCTCAATGCTGGAATGTTCATAAGGAGGTCTCTTCTTTGCTGTGTCACCATTATCTGTCAAAAATCCAAACTAACACAATGCTAAGGGGGTTCAAATTTTGATCCTTTTTATTGAGAAGAAAACAAAAATGAATGGTACCTCCATAGATGTTCCGTCCTTCGATTTCTGTTGAGAAGAAACAAATTCAACTATGTAATCTGTAACAGATAAAAGCCAATCAACCTCTTTTTTCCACCTCGCTTTCGTCTCTGGTGACATCGGCTCTAACTTCGATTGTTCTCCAAAAACAGAAGCTGCACCATCAAATGATCGTTCGTATTTCATTTTCTTGAAAGTCCCGATAATCATTTATTCGAATATGATCTAATCGAGGCTTACCAGCAAGGTTTGTGATGGCATTCGACAAGGCTAGAGCTGAAGAAACACCCTTTCCTCCTCCTGACATGTCTTCTCCCAATAGGAGTTTAGCAAATCTTTCCTTCATCATACCCATATCTAAACCAAAACAAAAGAATGAAGGTTAAGAATCAATATGCATAAATTCAAACATAACAAAACATAATACCTGAAGGAGGGCCTTTATCTTTTACTTTGGGATTTCCTGATGATGTTTCAACATCCTTGTTCGATCTGGTTAACCTATCAATAACACTACTTATTTGTTGAGCATAACTGTTGCTCTGACTCCTCAGCTTTATCCCTTCACTAATGGCCGTCTCTGCGCCAATTCCATTCTCGTCTTGAGCCATCGACGAATTTCAAAAAAGAGAGAAACAAAAACCCTCTATCAAGCTGAGAATGAACAATCATAAAAAGTGAAAAAAGAAAAAAAGAAAAAAAAAGGGTTTATCTGAATTTGGTGTAGTTGAGAGGATGTATAGTTGTTAATTATGAGTAGTTTAGTATGGAACGTGGGGTGCATGTTTGATTAGCAAAAGAAGAAGGAAGGAAAGAGAATGGGGGTTGGTATATTTGTTTTTTGATAATGAATGGTTGCATTTTTCAACAGAGGCAAAAAACCCGCGAAAGCATACATGGAAAACTACCCTTCTTCTCCCTCCTTTTATTTTTTATTTTTATTTTTTTTATGATGAATTTCTTTGTGGGAAAATTCGACCTAGCAAGTTGGTCTTAATCTTTAAAAATTAAAATCGAGTATGTAGTCTCTATTTTTTATTATTATTTTTTAGATTACTATGACTGTATGAGTCATCTCAAATGACGAAAATTGTTTAAATTTTCGTTAAATTATTGTATGATCATAACTGAAATATGTCTAGATGTAATTTCTTTTATGCATCAATATTCTAAGTTGGAAAGTAAAATATAGTTTAATAAAGTGGGACATCTGCAGATTATGTAACAGTTTGAAAAATAAAAAAATAAAAAAAATTGAAAGATACATGTAATTAGAGATTGATTGCAAAACTATAATGAAAAGTGGTATACTAACATGTTTATTTTTAAAATTGAGACCAACTTGCTACTAGTGCAGTAAATTTTGGACCAATGGTGCAATTTTTCTTTCTTTGCCTATTACTTTCCAATTTATCTACATAAACCAGTATGATGATAATAATAATAATAATAATTTTTTTAAAAAAAATTCATTTGCTTAGAAATTGTTATACTCTTTTGTTGTAAAATAATAAAGAAGTCTATCTAAATTATTTTGGTCTAAAAATGTCTATAATTTGTGTCCAAATATGAATAAAAACAAGAGAATTAGAGCAAGCTTCGTTAAATCTATACTCTCGCCCTACCTCAAACTAGAACTCCCTCAAGACTAGTGACCATTCTTCCTTCAAAAATTAAACATATAGAGTAATGATATTCATAAGCATATAATCAATTTAGGTGATAGTGAACCCCTTAATTAATTGAAAAACAAATCAAAGGTCCATTCTCACTTAAAGTGGTAAATAATCATAATTAATAATGAATAACATTATTCAATATATATAATAAGTCATTAAAGATATTGGATTACTCTTAGGCCATGTTTGATATGGAAGATTTTCCATGAAAAACAAAAAAAATTTGCATTTTTAAACTTTTTGCTTGTTTGATAGATAATTTTCATGGAAAATAAAGCCAGATGAATACCAAAATTTCAACATTTTATAAGTGAAAAATTATACCAATCATACACATTTAATTGACAATTTCTAATAAAACAAGTTCTAAACATTTCAATTCCCTATAATTCGTTTTCTTTCTACCAAATTTCATTCTTGCAATCAAACGGACCCTTATTGAGTTGCAAATTCAAGTAGCAAAGAAAGGAAAAAATAAAGAGAAAAACAAAAAAAAATCATAACAATCATACTTTAAGATTATATTTTCAAAATTTTAAAAGTTTGAGAAATTTTTCATAATTCGGGTCATAATTCAATTTTTTTTATATAAAAATAGATAATAATTGGTTTGTATAATATAAGATTGTGACATAAATTAGTTATTATTAAAGGATAATCTCTCTCTCTCTCTCTCTCTCTCTCTCTCTCTCTCTCTCTCTCTCTCGTCATATTCCTTTCCTAAATATCTGCTTCAGCTACTGCTTTCTTATTTTTAATGTCTCTAGAAATAAGGACATAATATATCGTGGCTCCATGAATTCATAATTTCTCCACATGTTTTTCTGTTCACAATCATCATTCAACATGTAACAATAGATCACATTCATCATTCTATGTATCAATGTAGGAGGCGATTGGCCTCAGTATTAATGAGACAGTTTTCATATAACATGCAAAATTATGGCATGATAACTCATCATAAAAATGAAATACAACAATTGTGGCACGTCTAGTTTATGCATGTGACCTTTTTAACCTCTCACAATGATGATGAAGAATGGAAAGAATAACAATTCTGCTATTAGGGAGAATTTGACCAGAGACGGATTCAGGATTGAATTCAAGACCGGGCTAAAAAATTTCAATCTAGGCTAATACGTGAAAAAAAAAATTTACACATTAAAAATCTGTTTTTACCAAAAAAAAAAAGGGAAATTACCCTAAAAAAATATTAATTGGGGAGGGCACTACAACCCAGCTAGTCCCCCCTAAATTCGTCCTTGAGTTTGACATCCTTCCCTATAGAGTCCTCACAATAGGAGGTAGGATTTTTTGGCTTTTTTACCCACATGGGTCCCACTTCAAAGAACAAGTGTTTGTCTCTCCAAATAACATTCAAATGGTAAGAATCCATTTTGTGTAATCTGAATTTTAAAAATTTAAAATCAGATATACATTACCACACTTAACATGATTGAGACAAAATAAAATCCTGTGTTAAAAATATGTTCAAATATTTATTAAAACAAATACCTAATTTGTGAATTAAAAAAAAATGTAATTTTTTATAATGGAAACTTAAAAGCATGATTTCCTCCAATTTTCTTTAAAAAAAATGCGGTGAGCTGGGCTGTATTTCAGTGGGCTAGAGTTCAAGCAATAGAAATGGGCTTCAAAATGTCCACAACCAATTGCTAGTTGAGGCTCGAATGGACTTTATGGAGCCTGGAGGTGAAAGCGGCTGCCTAAGGATCCAATAATTAAAAGAGTTATGCTATTTTTCCAGATTGACTTTATTAGAATTGTGTCAGATTAGTACTTGACAGTATTTCATTGATAATTGGAAATCTGGCACAATTTTGATAAAATCAATCTTATAATATAACATAACTCTAATTAAAAACCTTGCAAAGGCATGGCGGTGGCGCGGGGTCAAAGATGCCATTTCTCGTCTCTTATCCCATCTAGCATTTTTTTCTCCTTTCCTACCCCATGCCCGGTTAAGACGGGGCGGAACGGTTAGAAACGGGGGAGTTGCCCCGTTTATGGTCCTATTTATTATTTAATTTTTTTTAGTTTTTTTTAAATCTAATTTTATTAATGTTTTTATTTAGTGAAAATCATTACCTATCTTCAAATTGTAGAAAAATCCATGTTTTCTCTAGAAATTATGATGTTCTTTTCCTTTTTATTTGATAAAAAATTGAATTATGAAATGAACTTTAAACGGGATGGAGACCATGTTTCTCGTACCTGCCTCTCATCTCGAGGAAACATCGCCCCATGCCCACCCCCACGTACCCGACTAGGTGGGGATTTCTCGTCCTGTTTGGGGGCGAGGTCTACGGAAATCGAGTATAACGGATTTTTTTTGTCATCCGTAATCTTGTAATATTTTTTATTTAATGATAAATTAGAATATTAGAATTTTTATTTGACAAATAAGAATAGTTGAGTTAAAACCAATGTCGATTAATTTCTTTTTCATACTATAAACTTACTTCCGTGTCTGTACACATCATTTTCATATTTAACGCTATAGATATATATTAACATTAAACACCGAAAAAATGGGGGGGAAAATCCCAACCACAATCACATTCCTCTTTACCTCATTAATTCCAAGCATCACCATTTCAAAGTAATAGAAATTTTCTTCTAATCATCTATGATTGGATTCTGACCTTAAGAATTTCGTTCGTGATTGACTATTCAGAAAAAGAAAGGAAAAAAATAAAAAATAAAAAATTGACCACTATGAATCAATTTTGCGAGTCCCAAAAATTTTAGGGAAAAAAATGTAATTGTTTTTTATGTTATATTTTTATATTTTGAAAAAATTGAGGACAAATGAAATAGGTTTTAAATTCAAATTTTAATTGGGTTAAATATTTAAATATTAATATAGTAATGATAAATATATCGACATTAGGCTCATTGAATAGCATAATTAACCATACATATTTGACTCGAGAAAAAGTCGATTTGGATAAGTCAAGTATCAAGAAATTGCAATTTGAAGAAGTTGATAAAAACTAATTTTTAAATTGAATTAAAACTGCTGCCACATGTATTGGATTATTATAATTTTTGAATTGTGTGGTTTAGTGGAAAAAACACGTGTAACAATGGTAGAAAATGTAGGTTCTTTTTATATGATTTATTTGCTTGATTTTGGGGATTTATAAGGATAGCTTGCCATGTGATTATTGAAAAGGAAAGGAAGTGATTTTTGTTTATATGGATTACAGGGATTGGGATTTTTCTTTTATTTATTTATTATTTTATTATTATTATTATTTTGTGTGGAAACACGGCTTTTTGGCATATTTTTAGGCCTCCAATATTCCCTTTCAATTTTAAGTACCACACAAAGGTTCTTATTATTTACCTTCGAAAATATAGACACACGCATGCGATTGTAGCAGCAACACATAAAAAAATGAGTTTGGAACGTGATTTTGGATTTAGGCTTTAAAAAATTGTTTTATCTCACAATGTAGCAGCAACACATAAAAAATGTGCAAGTGGTTTATCTAGTTTAAATTATTTCTTCATACTGATAAATATTATGCTTATAATGACGTGAAATGACCATCCAACACTAAAGATATGATCTAATATGAGTTATTATCGGTTCTAAAGATATGATATGACGGTATGATATTTTTGACGCGTGATTTAATACATTTAA